CGTATGTAGAAATTCATGTCCTCGCATCAAAGTTTTCCCGTACCAAAGAAGTTATAGCTTATATGGATACTGGGGCCCAAATTACACCGATGAATCAGAGCAACCTCTCGATGGAATCATGGGTCACACATGTTGCATACTTTGTAGTAGCAGATGGAAAAATTTTCAGGACGAATTTAATGACCAAGGAAAAGATATGAATCATATTCTTCCCAGATTGCTTTGTCTGGACAAAGGTCATTGGCACTAATCTTCCAAATAAAGATATTGTTGTGGAATGAATGTCTACTCATCAACAAATAGACTCCAAATCCTCCCCCACCAGAATCAAATTCAAAAGATAATTCAAACTTTATTCGGGTATAATGAAAATATATTCCTTTTCCAAAATCCTTGTTGGATATGTGTCGCAGCGCAAAAAATACCCAAGCACATCGCTCGCTCGAAATACAACAGAGACGCCATCGATCTTTATCTGTTCCAAAGGAATGAGAAAATATCAAATAAAACCCACGAAAGAAAAGAAATGGTCGTGGCAACCAAGAGCAAATTTGAGAGTCGGTTATGCAAGGGGGGGGGGGGGGGGGGTATTAACACTCATCACATCTGTTGTACTCAACGATACTCATTTAATTAGTTTCGCAAATGAGTGTTAGTGTGATAGAGGTTCAAGAATACTTTAAACTCTTGATTTTAAATCAATGGAGTTTCCATGCAAAATGGTGACGATTAAGATACTAAATAAATAAAGCAAAGTAAAAATACAATAGAATTAAATAAAGAACAAGCATAAAAGTCATTAAACAACAACAAATCACTATTGCTTATGGAGATTCAAGAATACTTTTCAACTTTTGATTTAAAATCAATTGAGTTTCCATGTAAAATGGTGATATTAAGGTACTAAATAAATAAAGCAAGAGTAAAAATGCAATAGAATTAAATAAAGAGCTAGCATAAGAGTCTAGCTATACAATAAAAGAAAGAAAATGACTTGAAAGAAAATGAAGAAAAAAATGAAGAGAGTTTTGGCTTAGTTTAGTGAATGACTTGTGGTAAGATTTGTGAATGAGAATAACTTTATTTATAGGCTCTAAAAAAAGTAGTTTAGGAATTAAGAAAAAGAATATGGAAAATGTGTGAGTGCATTCTAGAAGCTTATTTAATTAAATAGTGAATAATGATGCAATAAATCCATGAAATAATGATGTGATAAATGAAAAATATTTTGGGTCTTTTAGAAACTAAATTTTTGTTTTATGATACATGAAACTGATTAATAAAATCCAAATGAATATTATAATGATAAATCAAATGATCATGAATTTATTCTCTTTTTTTAATGCATAATGAAAAATGTAAATTTAGTTAAATTCTTCAACATGAGAAATGTTGACTTTACTTTGACTTTTTTGAAAAAGAAAATGTACATCAAATGAAAAAGTAAGGGGAAAAAATGGGGTATGACAATACGAATAAATCAAGTCCAAATTACTCAAGCTCTGTGGAGATAGCCATGAAAAATTCCTCCATCCAAAATCTCTATGGAAAAATGAAGACTATTTTGTCCAACTTCCTTTCAATCTCAATGAAGATGTTAATCCAACCAAGGCCAATTATTCAAGAATGAGTCCATCAGATTATACGTTAGCTAGAGAAGAATGCAACCAGCTGGTCAGACAAGGTCTAATGGAACCCACTAAAGTTGAATGGGATTGCCAAGCATTTTATATGGAGAAAAGATCTGAAAAGATAAGAGGGAAAAATAGGCTAGTAATTGATTACAAACTTCTAAATCATTTTCTTAAAGATGATAAATTTCCCATTCCAAAATCCTTCTCCTAAAATGCTTTCATCAAAGATGTCCAGATCTATTCTAAGTTTGATCTAAAGTCAGGATTTTAGCAATTAGGTATTGACCCTAAAGACAGTTACAAAATGACATTTTACATTTCTAATGCCCAATACTGATGGACAATATTACCATTTGGACTTAAGATAGCTCCACCGCTATTTCAAAAGACCATGACTAGAATTTTTGAGCTCATTCTCAATAGTATCATCATCTATATTGATGATGCACTATTATTCTCAAAAGAAGAAAGGGCTCATAAACAGTTACTGGGCCAATTCCTTCAAATAGCCCAAAAGCATGGAATGATGCTCTCGAAAAAGAAAAGCCACCTGGGCTAAACATAAATTGATTTTCTAAGAATGCACATCTCCCAAGGGAAATATCAACCTCATCCCCATATTGCACAATAATTGTTAAACTTTCCTGATGAAAATCTCACAGTTAAGCAAATTCAGCAATTTCTTGGTGTAATTAATTATATCATAGATTTCCTGCCAAAACTGGCAAGATATATGAGCCCTCTATCCCAATTGCTCAAGAAAAAACTACCACCATGGAGAATAAAGCAAACTGAAGTAGTAAGAGCGTTAAAGATAATCACACAAACTCCATTTGTCTTAAAAATCCTAGAGAATGATAAAAGAATCTTATAAACTGATGCCATTAATTATTATTGGGGAGCTGTATTAATAGAAGAAATTGATGGAATAAAATATTATTGCGGTCATGCTAGTAGTCAATTCAAAGAAGCTGAAAAACATTATTATATCACTTATAAGGAAGGTCTTGCAGTTAAGCTGGGTATCTAAAAGTTTGATTTTCAATTGAGAGGTCATCAGTTTGAAGTCCAGATGGTTAATTCCTATTTTCCTAAGATCCTTGAGTTTAAAAATAAAATTCCTTCAGATCCTCAAACTCTTAGGCTCAAAGATTGGTTTTCCAGATATGATTTTACCATAAAACATATCAAAGGAACTCAAAATGTGATCCCCGATTTTCTTTCTAGGCCTATGAAACCCATCCAGATTATTACTACCAGACACACTTTTACTCTAATTCTTATGATCAAACCTCTACCAGCCCATGCATCTACGACTAAGAATCTTCCTCCAGGAATAAATTTATCCTCCTCACCATCCAAACTCAAATAATATGCCAGAAATAATCTTTTTAATATCATAACTAAGATTATAAGAAGGAAACTCTCAGGTCATATCCCTTACTTCCTAGACACACCTTTTCTTCTACCATTTATAATAAATCCAAATTTTAAATTTACAAAAAATCATTTATGGTATCTTTAGTTTGCTACCAGTTTATATGTTATGCATGTTCTTGTCTCAATTGAAGTCGTACATAACCACATAATGGATTCGAAAAACCACAAATCTTTAATCTAGACTACTTGGTATTCACCGTTAAAATGGTAGAGAAAACAATTAAAACAAGTCATAAATGAAGTCAAGGAAAGAAGATTAGCCTTAGAAGCTGTTGGCAAACTCAAGACAATTTTCTTCCTACACCGACCATATTAGATAGATCTCATAACTAAGCTTCTCATTTGTAAGAATTATGTTGATCTATGAAAAACTATTGATGATTATCCTTCAGGTATAAAAGTTACAAGGGAATTAATGAATTATGTCAATTTCATCAATCTCCATGATCATAAAGGAATCAAACTCGATACTACCTGCATAAGTCACAGAAAAATTAGGATACGAAAAATTGGAGAAAGCTCGGATCCAGCTTCACAGTAAAGACAAAAATTCTCCAATGGAAGTTGAACCATTGGAAAATCATGTGGAAGAAACCCTAAGAAAAATAGAAGATGACACGTAACAACACGAGTCATCTCCTTATCCAAACTACATTTAAGAAGAATACTTATCTGATCAAAATATGTCTCCAAACCATGAGTCAATCTTTAAAGACTAATTATACAAGTATCCCTTATGTGTCACAAACATGTTTATGAATAGCGGTGTTTTGTCTTTTTATGTAATAATACTACAATAATATATCTATAAGTGATAAGTGTGTGAATTTTGTCTTTTGTGAATATCGGTAGTTATAAAAGGAGATTTGTTGTATCAGTTTAAGGCAGCAGCAATAAAAAAATAAAATGCATGTGCTTACAGACAAACATGTTCTAAAAATCTTTCTTTCTTTCCAAAAGCTTTAGTTATTATGTTCATATCATAATTTCCCGTAGAGATGCAAATATGCTCTACATTTGCTTCAAAATGAGGATCTTATATATAAAAAATCATCTGATTATCGATTCATACTACGATTCATACTATTATAAAATTTCAGTTTTAATTGTTAGTCTATGCTTGAGACTTTGTTATGCCTATGGTTGGATGTTTTTTGTCTCACTTAACGATATAGTTAAGACTGGTCTTATGTGAGGTTTACATAGCTTGGTTATGTGAGTTGATAATTCGAATTAAAATTGAGCATGTCATAAGGACGTGTATCCCTTGCCAAACATAGAAAAATTGGTGGATATCTTATTGGGATTCAAACTTTTATTGTTTATGGAGGCATACTCAAGCTACAATCAGATCTTCATGGAGCCAAATAATTGCCACAAAACAACATTCATATTAAGAATAGAGTTAGAACATAAGGTGATAATCAAAAGGGGAGGACTCTTACCTTCCCACGAGGACACAGATATTGGATACTGCTAAGATCAAGAAAACACCAATGCCCCATATAGAAGATCCACCCTTTTTATCCCATACTTTTCATATTATGCAGTGACAAAAATCTCAAAATTATTCACAACCCCAAGCGCAAAAATTAATTAAACAGCAACATGAGATGGATTTTTTCAAACTGTTGAATATCTAACTTAAATGACTATTATACAAAAGTCTAAAAACATCCCAAATAAATACTCCCATATGGTAACACAACAGTACAATTAGCATATAATGCTTGGCGACAGTGTCTTGATCGGGGTAAAAGAAATCTCATGACAGTATTTGAGTAATGCCATTGAAAATTTAGCTAAGGATGACCATGTCAACAAGTGAATCCGGTATGTTGCTACTACTCCTTTGGTCTTCAAGCTGTGTTGTCTACCCTGCTTCTGCTACTTGGTTCCAGCAACAGACATCATGAACAGAAGAAACTAGTCCCTGCAATCCAACATTAAGAATTGACCTCAATAAACATATATATCCAGAAACTTGTATTAATAGTGTGTTTGTTTTCCTGTTTGAACACAGCTAAATACAAACATTTGGTCCAAAGCAACAATTTGTTCAAGTACAATTCTGGATATTTGTGGTACAGAAATTTATTTATAAAGTATGAAAGCAAAAGGGATTAAGAATTGTGTGTGAATACAAATATGGATATCTGTAGAATCTTATAAAAATCAAACAATATGCAACAACTGCCAAAATGGATCACGTCAATAAACAAGTAGAAGACAACATATCAATCTTGAAACTCGAGGACAAATGGCATGGAAGTGGTCAGAGGAGCAAATTTTACTTTTTTGAAAAAGCAGATATATAATACTGCAACAATATCAAACAAAGCCCAACACCAATAACACTGACAACCAATATGCAGAACACCAATTACTGTAACAAAAAAGGATATACAGTTTATAAACATCTATATAAACAAAACAAAAACTAAGGCAGACATATAGCTCCTGTATCCTGAGAGCACTATTTGTTGCAATCTCTAAAAGCCAGCAACCCTGCTTAATACTATCACAACTCTTCTTCCTTTTCTTGTCAATATAATCCAAATCTACCAAGAACAATCATAATAATTCCCCTACTACTAATTTAAGACAGAGACCTTCATAACAAATTGTTTTCCAAAATAAGAACATTTTAAAGAAGCAATGTGGCTGCTTTTGATATCTAATTTTATCCACTCCACGCACTGCTAAAGCAAGCATATGTATCCTTGCTTCTATTTCCGCCAATAATACAAGGCAACCTACATGAACTAAAACTAGTTCCTATGTCCTCCTCAATTTCAAAGCAGCAGCAAATATTTTCCTAACTGATTTAGAAAAAATCACAGAATCCTTTATCTACAGACTACATTTAAGCTGAGAACTGAGGTTGATACTCAACAAAACATAGTTCACATTCTTTGAAGATGGATTCACATTGGAGTTTTAGATGCATCTGTTGGAGTTGAGTGCTACTACTATGAGGTTAATCTTTGACAAATATGGAGTTTTATAATTTCTGTATTTTAGTGGTATATGCAAGTCCGCCGGAGTTTTACACAAACAATTTTAGGCGAATTAAATCAAATTTGATACGTAGAATTGTACACTGTTAGGATTCTAAGTTAACTCAATTTCGACACGATGTTTATCATGATATAGAGAAGGGATCCATTTTTTAAAACCAGAATCAAGGTATTATTCACATATTAATTCCAATAATCATCCAAATTTCAAACATACTAGAACATTATATAATCTAACTACCATTTTCATCTCATACATTGGCTTTGCCCTTTGTGACAGTTACTAGACTAAAAAAACACAACAATCCTTGACCTATGATTCTATTAAATAGAACTATTGGTCTCCTTAGTCCCTGGAGTCTGGGGTCTCTATTAGTGGTAACGAAGGTGCCTAATCTGCCAGATGGTGTCTAAAACAGACAAACCCAAATCCTTTTGAAACACTTGATTAGTGGTCATGAGTGTTAGTCCACACCAAACATTCCATGCAATTAAATGTGCCAAACAGGTATGCGTGTCACTACTTACTACTAACAAAAAACCCTAATTGAAACAACTAGCAAGTTCATAGGTAAGTGAAAAGATTTCTGGTTCCATTGTGTGGGGATAATGTGAAAGTGTGTGCCAAGGTTGAGGATGAGTGGTAGTTTACTCAACATCAAACACTTTTGTACACACATGATATAAGAGTTAAATAGCCACGGCACTCTTCTCGTTCCAAGTCAAAAGATTCAGCAAAAATAGACCATTATCTTCTTCAATAAGAGCCAGTTAAAACAAGCTACCCATGCCAGACACAAGGGATGTTGGCTTTCACATACACGGTGACAATGGAGAAGAAAGGATTAGGAAGACATGAGACAGAGTACCGATATAAGTGTCAAAGGGCTGTAGATATCAGTGATAGTTGTCCTAAAATCTAGAGGTTGCCAATATGAAGATCATTTAAGGACTCAGGTGACTTTTCCAAATCAATCTTTACAAAAATCTCTACTCAAACACCTCGCCGTGTCTCCTGCTAGATTCTCAGACCAGCAAACTGATGATGACTATCAAGACACTATAATTCGATACAGTCTAACAAGCTAAGAGATAAGGAAAATAAACTAGAGACCTATATTAGTTTGAGTAGCATACATGAAATTCTAGCAAAATGGTAACAGGAAAACTTGCATGCACTGAGTAACTATGACAACGAGGCATGTTTAAAAGAACAGCATGTATATGATTATGTAATTATAAGCGGCACATCATGAGAGTTTACTTACCAGTACTTTATCAACCCATCCCAGCCACAAGTTGCTACTTTGCTCTGTTCCAGAGGATGCCACTCACAACCAATGCAGACACCTTCATGACACTTGAGAGTTCTAAAGACTTTGCAACTCTTCCAATCCCAGAACCAACACTTACCCTCACCATCTCCTGACATGACAAAGCGTCCATCCGGCGAAAAATTGACCTGACAGGCATATCCAGCAACAATATGTCCAGCAAACCTCTTCTTTTTGTTAAGTTGAAACTTCTCCCTTGTGCTATAAATAAGTATCTGATTATCCAAACTCTGCGTAGCAAGCCAATTAGCGTTGGGGTGAAGCGAAATGGAAGGCATAGAATGCATGTGTGGCTCACTAATATACTTTATAACCACAGGAATACCATATTCCCATACTCTGAGGGACTTGTCATCACTTGAAGTAACAAATCTCCTATTGTTATCAACAAAAGTAATGGTATTCACAGCCCCTAAATGCTGATCATACTCTTGAGTTATCTGCCCTGTATTCATATCCCACTGAACAATCTTCTTATCACTCATACCAGCCAACAAAACATTCTGCTTATCCTCATCCGGGTTAAGCTTCACAACATAAGGGATCTTCCCAGTAGAAAAAGTGGAAATGACTTGTCCCGTTTCGGTATCCCAATACTTAATATTCTTGTCATAACCAGCACTCAAAAACTTGGTTCCGTCATTGGTGAAACAAATATCCCTAACAGCTTTAGAGTGTCCCATGTAAGTTCTCATACATTTTCCAGTATTGAAAACATCCCAAATCTTAACCTTTGTATCCATCCCAGCAGAGAGAATCAAATGACCAGCCTTGGGGAAAAACCGAATAGCAGAAACCCCTTTCGTGTGTCCACTCCAAGTATGAACCAATCTCTTGGGTATATAACAATGATCATTACTAGCTTTCGCATCTTTAGGAGGTGCAATCCAAGACCTCCCTTGATAATCCCTTTCCTCTTTCCCATGAAAAGTACTCTTATCTTTAACAGCCTCAACCTTCTCACCACCAAAACCACTCTTCTCTTCACCTTTCTTCTTAGCATACTCCTCGGCGTACTTCTTCTGATCCTCCGTTAACTCTCCTTGTAAACCTTCCTTCTTTCCAGCCCAAGGACTCTTCTTATTCTTCAACAACCACGCCTCGGAAGCAGGGTTTTCAATCTCAACGCCTTCTTCGTTGTTGTTTTCATTCTCGTTATCTTCTTCTTGGTCATCATTTTCCTCCTTCTTCAAGGCTTCGATTCTCCTCTTCTTCTGCTCACGGTGAGGCATATTGTAAACAGAAGCAGCATTATTCTTCTGCAAAGCATCGAAATCGCCAATGTAATTCGAGGCGGAGGGGTCAGCGGCGTAACCGAATTTGAGAAAAGTGTTATGCTGTTCATCGAAGAGAAAGGGTTCAATGTTGGCGTCTTCGACAAAACCTAGCTTGTGGTTACGCATACCTTGTGCTAAACCGTCTTTGGCGTAAGGGTGAGAGGGACCTTGGATGGGGGCCCAGAGCTGGTCGTAAGTAGGGTTGAAAGCGACGGCGTGTTGAGTTGGATCGATGGGTTTTGATAGGGTTTTAGGGTCGGCGACGGTGAGTGCGAGCATGGTGTCGTCGACTTTGGGTGCGGCGGAACGGGAAGGGAGGAGGCGGGGTGGGGAGGAGTTTTCCGGTGAGTTAGGGTTTTGAATTGGGGAGTCGGGGTCGTTGTTGTCGGAGTATTGGTTGAGTAGATCCATTGTGAAGAATTCTATTAGCTACGAAGAAACACGGTATGATGAGAATGTTGAACGGTGGTGAGAGAGAGGGAGAGGGGAAAGGAGCACTGCAGCGGCGGAAGAAGAAGCTTGGTGAATGGCACAAGCCTGAGATGAAGACGGTGGTTGACGGCAAAATTGTTTTTGAATAAAATAAGAAAATAAATAAAAAATACTAAAGATTTTTCGGTACCCGTTCTCCGTTATTTTTTAATGTGCACCGCGTTAAAATACAAACTTTTTTTTTTTTAATCTTAATTTAAAATATTTATATTGAGGAGAGATGTCTCTATATATTATATCGCAAACCACCTTTTCTTTCAAAATATAATATATATATATATATATATATATATATATAATGTAAAGTGATTTTACATTATTAATCAATTATTATTATATATTCTATTAAATCGTCTTAATATTTTCAAGTTAGTTGTGTGACACGGTTGATTAGTAAATTTTTATGGGATGATTGTGTAAAATATTGTCAGTATTATTTTTAATTTTTATAAAATATTTTGAATAAAAAATTTAAAAGTATCTAATTTAATAAAAAAAAATATAAATGAAAGAATCATATTTTGAAGAAAAAAAAAAAGAAAAAAAATTGAAATTTTGAGGAGCAAGAGAGAATCCAAATTTGTTTCTCTTTAAGATATAGTTTTGAAAGAAAAAAAATGTTTATGTAAATATGAAAATAATTCTCTATAATCAAACATGCAGCATTTTATATATATATATATATATATATATATATATATATATATATATATATATATATATATATATATATATATATATATATATATATATATATATATATATATATATATATATATATATATATATATATATATATATATATATATATATTATTCTTCAGTCACATGGCTCAATTTAAGTCTAAAAAAATAAAAGTATTATAAAATGGTAAATTCTTATTTATCCAATTTAAAAAATTGGGTAAAATTATCATTAATGTAAAATGTCTTGGAAATAACAAATAATTTCATTATTTAATAAATAAATAAATATATTAAAATTAAATGAGACATTACGCCAAAAATAAGATTAGACAGCACACTTAAGACAGCGTTTCTTAACAAAAGCGCTGTTAAAAGTGTATTTTAAAAATACAGAAATTTCGTCCTATGCTTAGACAACGCTTTCTAAAAAAATGCTGCTTAAGGGGAGTGAATATTGTTTGATAAAGCGCTGCTAAAGGGGATTGGTCCTGAAAGTGCTGCCTAAAAGGTGGGCTTAGAAAGCGCTTTTCAGAAGCGCTGCCTAAAGGGTGGGCTTAAGCAGCGCTTTGTGAAAGCGCTGCCTAAAGGGGTTAATGTGAATTTATAAAGCGCTGCTAAAGGGGGTAGGTACTATAGCGCTTTGGAGAAGCGCTGCATAAAGGGCGGATTAAGCAGCGCTTTCTTAAAGTGCTGCCTAAATGGGGGGATTATGCAGCGCTTTCTACTACAAGCGCTGTCTAAAGTCATGTTATAAAAAAATAAAAAAATGTGCCCAGCATAATACACAGTAACACGTTATTATTTGCATCTACCAGTTTTCAGAATACAGTATACGCTCAAAACACCGCCTTTAACGCCATTTTTCGTTTGATTCTTGACAAAATCGTTGCATCTTTTCTTCAAGATTCTCATCCTTCTTCCATTCAAGACCGTTGCATCCTTTCTTCCATTCACAACCAAGATTTTCTTCTCCTCTAGGTATGATTTTTGATATATTTGATAATATTGATATATAATGTTGCATTTGGTTTAGTTGATAGTGTTGATAATGTTGTTTTAGTGTTGATAGTGTTGTTTTAGTGTTGATTTATTGTTGATAATGTTGCATTATGGTGTGTTTTTGTATGGCATGTAGTTTTTGCATGTAAGGTGTTTGAGAAAATGTCACAATGAGATTGCATGTAAGGTGTTTGTGTAAATGTCACAACAAATATTGCATGTATTGAATGAGAGAAAAAAATATTATAATTGAAATGTGAATACATTAACATTGCGATTATTATTGTGAAAATTTGATTTTTAGACAAGAGTCACGGACGAGACACGAGGATGAAATGTTTTATTAAAATTAGTGATTAGAAATTGATAAAGAAATAGTTTATATAGTGATAAAAATTCTAGAGAAAAGAGACTGTTACACAAAGTATTTATGTCAATAGAATTATGGAAACTTGGATTCTCTAATGTAAAAGTCATACTAACACATAAGTTAAGATAGTTAAACAAATTATGATTGTTGGATTAAAATTTGAAGATCTAGATTTGAAGTTAGAATATAATTTGAAGGGAAAAAATGAAGGTTACACTTTATGAGCCATTTGATTAATATAGAGTCATATGAATTGTTTGATTGATTTATATTTTCAATGTAGAATATTAAAATAGATCTTTATTAAATAAAATTCTTTTATTAATATTTTACCTTCATATTTTATAATCAAATATTATATATATTTTTTAAAATTATAACAGTAAAATATATGTTAAAAAGAATATTAGTGATTATTTAATGGTGTATACATATATCTTTAATGTTGTATAAATATTATAATGTAATTCTTATTCTATAGATTTGTTTTATTATAATGAAATTAATTGATCATTTATATAGGTTACTTGTGAAGAGTGGAGTTTCTGAGCGTTTCCAAGAATATTACACTGTGTGGTTTCAGAAGTTATTGACTTCTCTACAAGTATTTAGTTGTTCTTTGAATTTACCATAGTTTCTTGAATAATTATAGTATTTTTTATTTTCGATGAATATGCCTAATTGGTATTAAGCTTTTTAGTCTTTGTCCTTTTTTTTAAAGTATTTTTTTGTTTAGCTTACTTAATAGTAAGACCATGGATAAAAAATGGATGTCTGCCAATCGATTGTCCAAAGAGTACAAGAATGGGGTATTGGAATTCGTTAAGTTTGCTGTTAAACACGCCGAAGACGTCAATCGAATGAAATGTCCTTGCTAAGTTGTTGTTTTGTGGGTCGGGTTGACGCAGTTGGGTTGCAATCGCATTTATTGAGGCGTGAAATTGATCGAAGTTACACATGTTGGATATTCCATGGTGAGAAAAGTTACGAGAATGTTGAACCGGGGGATAGTACGACATATGCTTCAGACGACAATGACACATATACATACGATTGTGATCGATTCGAAGAGATTGCAGAAGCACTTGAAGAAGATCTTCAGGATTGTCCCAAAATGTTCGAGAGGTTGGTAAGCAATGCAGAGAAATCGTTGTATAAAGGTTACACTAAATTCATAAGATTGTCTGCGGTATTAAAGTTGTACAACTTAAAGACTGGCAATGGATGGTCAGATAAAAGTTTCAGAGTTATTAGCCATTATGAGAGATATGCTTCCGGAGGATAATGTTCTTCCTAGTCGAACCTATGAGGCCAAAAAAATGTTGTGCTCTATTGGCATGAGATATGATAAGATACATGCTTGTCAAAATGATTGCATTTTGTTTCGAAATGAATATGCATCGTTAAATGAGTGTCCTAAATGCGGTTTATCTCGATATAACAAAAAATTGTCTCCAACAAAAGTCTTATGGTATTTTCCTATAATTCCGAGATTTAGACGCATGTTTTGTAGTGAAACCGATGCAAGACAATTGGCTTGGCATGCGGATGAAAGAATTATTGATGGGAATTTTTGACATCCAGCAGATTCACCACAATGGTCGAAAATTGATAATGATTATTCTGATTTTGGAGGAGATGCAAGAAACCTTCTCTTGGCATTATCTACTGATGGAATGAACCCGCATGGTCTTCAAAGTATCTCACATACCACATGGCCTGTGATTATTATGATTTATAACCTACCTCCATGGCTATGTATGAAGCGCAAGTACATGATATTATCTATGTTAATTTCTTGACCTAAACAACCAGGGAATAACATAGACGTTTACTTGAAACCGCTAATCGAAGATTTAAAGATTTTAGGGAGAACAGGGTGGAGGTTTATGATGGATATAGGAAAGAAAGTTTCAATTTGGGAGCGGTGTTGTTTGGCACAATTAATTATTTTCCGGCATACGGAAATCTGTCAGGGTATAACATTAAAGGTCAAAAGGCGTGTCTTATTTGTGAAGAATACACAAATTGGAAGTGATTGGAATTTTGTCAAAAGAATGTATTTCTCGGTCATCGTAGATTCTTAAACTCTAATCATCACTACCGTTGGTGGAGAAAGGCATTCAATGGAAATCCAGAACATGATAGAGCTCCGCCTATGTTGACATGTGACCAACTTTTTGAAAAGGTGAAAGATATGAGTACCCAGTTTGGCAAGCCTTTTGCACATACGCTTGTCAAAGGTGGGTGGAAGAAGAGGTCAATTTTTTTTGAATTGCCATATTAGAATTCGTTGTATGTAAGATATTTTCTTGATGTTATGCATATTGAAAAAAATGTATTTGAAAGTGTTATTGGTACGTTACTCAATATGCAAGGAAAGTCTAAGGATGGCTTTAAATCAAGAAAGGACTTGATACAATTGGGAATAAGAACGGAATTAGGACCCATGAAGAAAGGAACACGAACATATATGTCGCATGCTGCTTATACTTTATCTAGAAAGGAGAAAAAATATTGTGTAAGTTTCTAAGTGAAGTAAAAGTTCCAGAAGGTTACTCTTCAGATATTAGAAGACTTGTGTATATGAAAGACCTCAAGTTAAAGAGTTTAAAGACACGTGATTGTCATGTTATAATGGAGAATTTTCTATCAATAGGCATACTTCTATTTTGCCAGAAAAAGTAAGAAGCGCCATAACTAAATTGTGTTTTTTCTTCAGGTCAATTTGTAGTAAGGTGATCGATCCCGAGATCTTACCAATATTGAAAAACGAAATAATCATTACTTTGTGTGAGCTTGAAATATATTTTCCCTCCTTTTTTGATATTATGGTACATCTTGTTGTTTATCTTGTGAAAGAG